AAACTGATATGCCATGGTCTTTCTTTTTACAAAGACCACATAGCAGCCAGAGGAGAATGGATTGTAGGAGGCAGGCGTGGAAGCAGGGAGACTAGATAAATTCTCATGAAAGACCTTGGTGGCCGTGGAGATAGAATGCATTACATTCAAGGCCAACTTGGGGGATGTGATTGACAGGGTTTGGTGATAGAGTGCCATGGGAGCTGAGGAAGGAGAAACTGAGGATGAGTAATCATGGGTTCGCCGACATTAAAGTGCTGATAGTTTTATTGTACTCAGTTAATAGAAATTAACTGTAGTTAAGATGTTTCTGATTTCTCCATATTTTATCAATGCTCTATCATCACTTATCACTAATTCTTGTGTTTTTCCACTTTAGGCCTTGAAGAAATGCACGTTGGTAGAGAAGATTGCTTTACTTATCCCCTCTGTTTTCTGCCCTTCCTTCCCTCTACCCCTAATTCCAGGAGTTTCCATCCCTTTCTGGGTGCTAGTCTGAACTCATAGCTCAGAGCCACACCCATGATGTGGCCTAAAGGGGAGCAGAGGAGACTTGGATGAACAGACGCAGGACATCTCAAAATGTGCTAGGCAGGCAGGGGAGGGGGAGTGTCCCTCTTCCTTCTGATGTGGAGCCTGCCCTCCCCAAGCCCTACACTCTGGACCAATCTCTGACCTCTCTTGATCTTCTAGGTTGAACCAATAGGAGGTCAAGCTGAGCTGCTAGAGGTCAAGCTGCGTTGCTGAAGTGGATGAGAAAACCAGTCTTAGTGAGAATGAACTCCAATTAGCTTTAGAACACTGACAAATGTCAAAGCTGATGATTTGACATGGAGTTAATGTTAACTGGTTAGGATAGCTGGCTGGTGGTGAACTAGAATGTTAGCAGTGGGTACCTCTAACTGGTGAGGTTACAGGTGGCACTAATTTTCTTCTTTGTATGTCTCCGTATTTTACAAGTTTTCTGCAATGAGCATGTGCTCTTTAAAAAACTGATGAAAAATCAGTTTTATTATTGCCATTGCTGTAAAATTATAAGCACTTTTCAAATTCACCAGTTTTAATAACTATGTGGAATGCATTTAATTTTAGGGAAAAGATGGCTTAGTTTTTATTGAAAGGAATTACTGTTCTGTTTCTTTTGAATGACAGAGCTAAGAATCCCTAAAAATAGATTGCCTATTTGTGAAAACTGTCTTGTATACTTGGAGGTTTCTAAAATACAAATTGAGATTTTACTTAAAATGTTTAAAAATATAAGTAGTATATCTAACAACTTTAACCATATGATTATCATATGTAAGCTATGGCATATGTGTGTATGTGTATACACGCATACATGTTATATATATGCACACATACATAGTGTACATTTACATACATACATAAAATTTACATATATAATACACATTTACACATATATGAAATATTTCTATCATCCACAGAATTTAAACTTAGTACCAGAATGTTAGTTTTAGTATCTCAATAATTGGTAAATAATTGTTGGAAGTATGTGCTATTCTGGATTTTACTTATTTAAAATATAGGAAATGTAAATGACAGGAGGGGGCATCTCTCCTTTGTAAGGTAGCTTTTCAAAAACAGATTTATATTTGGATAAAAAATCAACTAAGTATAAAGAAAATGACTTGATATAAGAGCAGTCCATTTAGAAAGGAGATAGAGGCTTTAGTTTACTGAGATCTCAATATAAGGTAATTATTAAAAATAAAGAAATATAATCTTAGGCTGCATTAATATCAATACCGTATCTTCAACAAGAGATATTGTATTTTTCACTTAAAAACAAGCCCTGTGTAGGCTGGGCACAGTGGCTCACGCCTGTAATCCCAGCACTTTGGGAGGCCGAGGCGGGGAGATAGATCACTTGAGGTTAGGAGTTCAAGATCAGCCTGGCCAGCATGGCAAAACTCTCTCTCTACTAAAAATACAAAAATTGGTCAGGTGTGGTGGAGCATTCCTGTGGTCCCAGCTACTCAGGAAGCTGAAGCAGGAGAGTCACTTGAGCCTGGGAGGTGGAGGTTGCAGTAAGCTGAGATTATACAACTGAGCTCCAGTCTGGGCAACAGAGCAAGAATCCCACTCAAAAAAAAAAAAAAAAAAAAAAAAAAAACCATCCCCCAACCCCATGTAATTTTCTTTGAAGAGAAAATATCTTCACATGGTTCAAATATAAAGAAGTATAAAATTATGTTTATTGAAAAATTTACCCTCCTATTCTATCCTGTGTCAGCCTGGTTCCCATCTCCCCCAAGAGGAAAGCACTGGTGTCAACTCGTTTATTCTTCTAAGGATTTTGTGTTTTTTCTTAACATTCTCTTTCTTTTAAACAAATGGCAGCATTATGCACACTGTTAAAAGTATTTCAGAAATTATTTAATATGTATTCTCCTTTATAGCTATGTAATATTCCATTCAATGGATGTACTATGTTTAACAAATCCCCTGCTAATGAACAGTGAGGGTTTTCTCTCTTTTCCCTTGGCCAAACAATGCTTCAGAAAATTATGTGTATAAATACATTTGTAGGATAAATTTCTAGAAATGGAATTATTAACTGAAAGGGTCTGTACATTTTAAAAATGATACAGTTCCTGATAATTTTTCTCTAGGGTTAAACAATTATAGTCCTATCAGCAATAAATAAGAGTAATTATCTCTGTATTCACGCCAATGATGTGTTATCAAACATGTAATTCTATAAGTGAAAAGTGGTATTTCAGTGTAGTTTTGATTTCTATTTCTTCAATGGAGGGAGGACATGCATGTTTCTAGGTTTATAGGTTATTCATATTTCCTTTTCTGTGTACTCTCATTCATACCTTTTGTCTAGTTTTCTATTATGTTGATTATATTACCCTGTTAAAGCTAAACCCTTATCAAGCTTCACAAGGCCCTATGATATGGTACCCAGGTGTGTAAAATTTTCTGTGGATCAGAAAATACAGGAGAAAATTTGTGAGAGATAATAAAAATGGAAAAACAATGCCAATGCATTCCAAAGGCTATGGCCTGGGCACTAACTTTTGCTTTAAAAGCTTCCTCATACTGGGAGTATTTCCTTGGGAAAATAATTGGATTTTGTAGTGGAAATTAGGAAAAAATGTTTGTTTTAAGAAAACTCATGAAACTCATGTTATCATATACTTTGATGGAAATCAACTTTTTCCCATTAAAAAAATATAATTGTGTTACAGATTCAAGTGCAAGTGATTTTTGAAGTGACACAGCAAAGTGAATTGGAGGATTGAAGCAGTTTTCTGGATAGTCCAGGCTACCACCTGACTACCTCATCTGATATGTACATGTAGTGAATAATTTTTTTGTGAGAAGTTTAAATCACTGCAGCAGTCAACTGTTTTCCAAAATTCGTTCTTCTTTTCTTCTACTCGACCAGATTATTTTCCTGGGCATGAAGAATTTTGCCACAGCTAAAGTCAGTATTTCTCAGCTCCTTCTTGCAGCTAGATGTGGCCATGCAATTATATTTTGGCAATAGGATGTGAACAAAAATGATATGTGGTACATTCAAGTTTTGACCTAAAAGGATTGCACGTGAACATCCATTGTGTCTTCTCCTTTTCCTCTGACTGAGATGTAGTTGTGATGGTAGGAGCTGGAGGAGCCACTTTGGACTCAGAGATGGAAAACCTGTGTTGAGGAGTCCTGGACTTTTATGTAAAAATGTCTTGTTTAAACTACTGTGTGTCAGAGTCCTTTAATCACAGCATCTTAGACTATATTCCCATAAGTACAATATCTTTGCTTCATAATAAAGTGCCTCCAAATGCAGTGACTTAAAAAACAATCATTTATTAGCTCCTGATGCTGTGGTTTGTCAAAATGGCCTGAGCAGTTCTTTTGCAAGACTTGCCTGGGTTTACTCACATATCTGCAGGTAGCTGGTGGGGTTGCTAAGGGATAATTGGCTCTGGATGGCCTCATTCATGTGATTTACAGGGGCAATGGGAGCAACTGGGTTCCACGTTTCTAGCAGTTAACAACTTCAGGTTTCTTCTCATGGTGGCTGGATTCCAAATGTAACCAGAGATAGCAAGTCCCAGTGAGCAATCACTTTTTACACCCCTGCTTGTGTTATACTTGGTAATGCCACAGTGGCCAAAAAAAATAACACAGCCAAACCAAGAGTGAATGTGGGAAGGTGTATTTTTACAGCAGGGTTTCTGAACAGCAACACTACTGATATTGGAGCTGGAAAATTCTTTGTCCAGTGGGCTGTCCTGTGCATTGTAGGACATTCAACAGCATCCCTGGCTTCTACTTCTCAAATTTCAGTAACAGTTCAGACCATAACCTTCCCACACCCCATACCATAACACTCAAACATGTCTCTAACATTGCCAATGATCTCTGCATGGAAAAAAATTGCCTTCAGTTGAAAATAACTGGTTTACAGGAAGATGTGAATCTGGTGTAGACCTTTGAGGGCTGTTAATGAACAATCTGCCACATACAACAATTGATACAGTTAGCTTATTTTTCTTTGCTGTGTTGTTAACCTTACATGTATAGACTGTTGCTAATTATCTCCACTGATGTGTGTTTTTGAAAGGCTGTTTCTGGGTTCCAAGACTCAGCCCTTGTGTTTAGAGCTTGATGTTGCTTGTGATTCTGCTTTTTATACTTAGACTGCTAGCACAGAACTGGTTGTAGTTATTAGAAAATATTAGTATCATGACATATTATACCCAAACCTCTGCATCTTCTCTGTAATAATACATTTCTTCCTGTTGTCAGGTAACTTACCATGCAGACTATACATCCTTGCTCCATTGTCTTTGGACTTGGCCATGTGACTGGTTTTGGCTGATAGAGGGTGGGCATAAGTGAATGCCGGTTCTGACAGAGGTTTTAAAAGGCTTTGCATGTTTCTGAAGGTCTCTCTTGTGCTCCTGCCTCCTGCCATGAGAACAGCATGTCCCAGGTAACAACTAATTCTTCTGCCTAACTCCCCATAGGAGAAGACCTGAACTTGACCTACAGTCTGGAACAAAGACACCCAGATGACCCACAGAAACTGAGAGAGAAATGAAGCCTTATTGTTTTAACACTTTGATATTCTGGAATTGATTGCAGCATCATTACAGTAAAAGCTGACAAATACAATTCTAATTTTTTATTCTATTAAGTTGTTTTTATTAAAAGAGTATATTACCATTATAGAAAAATTAGAAAATACAGGAAATCAAAATGAAGAAAAGAAATTAAGTAGGAAGACAGGCTCAAACAACTATGATGCTATTACATGTTTACTTACAATTGTGATAAGTTCTCTTTTTCTTTTTTTTTTTTTTATTTATTTTAAGAAAGAGAGAAAGGAAGAAAGAGAAAGAATAAAAGAAGAAAGAAAGAAAAAATGAAGGAAAGGAAGAATGAGGAAGAAGGAGAGGGAGAGAGAACTGGGGTGTTACTTTATTGCCCGGGCTAGAATGCAGTCTAAAAATGGGTATGCCTATAATTGTGTTTAGTAATAGAGACACGGAAAAAAAAAATGAGGGAAGAAAATAACTAACAAGCAGCCAACCAATATTTCATTTAAACCTGTAAAAAGGTGTGATGTGGTACTAATAAGAGTGTATATTTTGTATATTTAAAGTGGAGAGTTCTATAAATGTTAATTAAGTCTACTTGTTCCCGATCTGAGTTCAAGTCCTGGATATTGATGTTAACTTTCTGTCTCATTGATCTGTCTGATATTGATGTTGAAGTCTCCTACTATTATTGTGTGGGAATCTAAGTCTCTTTATAAGTCTTATATATCTGGGTATTCCTGTATTGGGTGCGTATATATTTAGGATCTTTAGCTCTTCTTGTTGCATTGATCCTTTTATCATTATGTAATATCCTTCTTTGCTTCTTTTGATCTTTGTTGCTTTAAAGTCTATTTTATCAGGAAAAATTGCAACTCCTGCTTTCTATTTATTTATTATTTTCGCCCTCCATTTGGTTGGTAAATTTTTCTCCATCCCTTTGTTTTGAGTCATTCTGTATCCTTGCATGTGAGATGGGTCTGGATGTAGCATACCAATGGGTCTTGGCTTTTTTTGCCTGTCTGTAACTTTGGATTGGGGGATTTAGTTGAATTAATAATAATATATGTGAGTTTGATATTGCCGTTTAATGTTAGCTGGCTGTTTTTCCCATTAGTTGATACAAGTTCTTAATTATGTTGATGTTCTTTATTTTTTGGTATTTTTTAGAAAGGCTGATACTGGTTGTTCCTTTCTATTTGTAGTGGTTTTTTCAGAAGCTCTTGTAAAGCAGGCCTGGTGGTGATGAAATCTCTGAGTGCTTGCTTATTCACAAAAGTTTTTATTTTTCCTTCGCTTATGAAACTTAGTTCGGCTGGATGTAAAATTCTGGGTCGAAAGTTCTTTTCTTTAAGAATGTTGAATATTGGCCCCCACTCTCTTCTGGCTTGCAGGGTTTCTGCTGAGAGATCTGCTGTGAGTCTGATGGGCTTCCCTTTATGGGTAACCTGACCTTTCTCTCTGGCTGCCCTCAGTATTTTCTCCTTCATTTCAACCCTGGTGAATCTGGCGATTATGTGCCTTGAGATTGGTCTTCTTGAGGAATATCTTTGTGGTATTCTCTGTATTACCTGGAGTTGAATATTGTCCTGCTTTGCTAGGTTGGGAAAGTTTTCCTGAATAATATCCTGAAGCGTATTTTCCAGCTTGGATTGATTCTCTTTGTCACATTCAGGTACACCTATCAAACGTAGATTAGGTCTTTTCACATAGTCCCATATTTCTTGGAGACTTTGCTCGTTTCTTTTTATCCTTTTTTCTCTAATCTTGTCTTCACATTTTATTTCATTAAGTTGGTCTTCGACCTCTGATATCCTTTCGTCTGCTTGATTAATTCGACTGTTAAAACTTGTGCATACTTCACGAAGTTCTTGTGTTGTGTTTTTCAGCTCCATTAATTCACTTATATTCCTCTCTAAATTGTGTATTGTTGTTAACATTTCGTCAATTCTTCCTTCGAAGTTCTTAGTTTCTTTGCATTGGGTTAGAACAAGTTCTTTTAATTCCCAGAAGTTTCTTATCATCCACTTTTTAAAGCCTGCTTCTGATAATGGAACACAGTCTTTCTCCATCAGGCCTTGTTCTGTTGCTGATGAGGAACTGTGATCCCCTGTAGAGGGAGAGGCGTTCTGATTTTGGGTATTCTCAGCCTTTTTAGGCTGGTTTCTTCCCTTCGTTATAGATTTATGATAAGTTCTATGAAGGGAAAGTCTGTATTCTAGGATCATATTAATATTTAAAAAGAGGGCATAGGCTGGGCATGGTGGCTCACACCTGTAATCCCAGAACTTTGGGAGGCCAAGGCGCGCAGATCACCTGAGGTAAGGAGTTCAAGACCAGCCTGGCCAACATGGTAAAACCCCATCTTTTCTAAAAACACAAAAAATAGCTGGGCGTGGTAGCACACACTTGTAATCCCAGCTGCTTAGGAGGCTGAGGCAGCAGAATCATTGAACGTGGGAGGCAGAGGTTGCAGTGAGCCAAGAGCGTGCCACTGCACTCTAGCCTGAGTGACAGAATGAGACTCCACCTCAAAGAAAACAAACAAACAAAAAAGGGCATGATATAATCTGGAGTCAGGAAAATTTTTCCAAAAGAAATAATGTTACACATATCATGTATTAAATACATATAAACTATAATGCTGCATCTATTATAATACACACATACTTTTATATCAGTATCCTTGATGTCAAAGACCACAGTCATTTCCTTAACAATCTCAGCACTAAGATGGGCAGGCAGAGTGTGAGTAGGTGGTGGTGGCATGTAGAAGCTGATTTTCCCACTGACCCAGTCAGCTAGGACAGTTTTGGCCACCTGTTCCTGACTGTATAAGCCTCCCTTCTTCTTCCCCAAATGGTGCACCACTACCATGAGAAAGTGCTCAGTGGTCTGGAACCCAGAGACACCATAGTAGTTGGAAATCTCCTCCAGGTTGCAGTGCTGCAGGATGGTTCCCACCGGGGTCACAAGGTCTGCCAGCTTCTGCACGTGGATGCAGTTACCCAGGATATTATTGCCCACCTCTGAGTTGGGCCCTGGGACAATGCCTGCAGCATCCAGCAGCCGGATGAACTTGTCCAGGTGGACCTCCTGCATGAATTTGGTAATCCCAGAAACCGCTCCCACGCTGCATGCAAGGCCGTGCTTCTGGCTATTAATCAGGCTGCTCTTCCCAACACTGGGAAGACCCACAACGCCTACATGAATGTGCGTACGCACTTCAACAAGGCGACAATAGTTCTCCAGAACCCTCGTGAGGTTTTTCAGCTCCAAAGCAGGCTTTGCTTTTCAGCAGTGACTCAGAGGCCTGATCTCCTGGTATACTGAAATGATTCAGGTTTCTGACCTGATGCTGGGTACTGGCCTTGAAAGCCACGGCTGGCAACTCTTTCCGAAGGTAATCCAGCCATTTCTCCACAACCGCCTTGGGGACCAGGTCAATCTTGTTCAAGACAAGGACCAGCTTCTTGCTGCCTTGTGCTCGCAAGACAGCCTCCTCCATTTGGAAGCAGCGGCAGCCTAATGGATCTCTGGCATCCAGGGCTTCCAGAATCACATCAGAGTATTCCACCACTTTATGGAACTCCTTGTAATAAGCATTCCTTGTGACCTCGTCATCCAGCCGAGGAAACATATTTAATTCCTGCAAAACTTCCTCCTTATGCTCATACTCCTCCTGGCATCTCAGGACATCCTGACAGTAGCTCTCGATGGTCCTGCGTTTTTGTCTTTCTTGCTCCCAGGCAGCTTGCTGCAACTCCCTCATCTCCTCAGCCCTTTTCTCCTTTAAATTAGCCTCTCGATTGGCATGATCATTGGAGTGAACCAAATGAGGTGCTGAGGGCACTTTGGAGGTTGCTTTCTTCCCATTTTGCTTTGCAGGCTTCTTGTGGCCCTTTGAACTTTTACCTGGCTTTTTATTTTTGTGACTAAGCTTCATCGTGATGACGAGCTTGAAAGCAGTTAAGTTCAAATCTGCTTGCTCTCTTCCTGTGCTTCCGGCGAGGTTGTGAGAAGGGACGGCAACAAGACAACTCTGTTCGGCGAGCAAATGCCCTCGCGCAGGGAGGCTCAGGCTTCCGGATCCCAGGCTGGGAGGCGCCCGACTCCGCCCACTGTGCGTTCTCCGCTGGGGGCGGGCTTCTGACTGACAGCTTGCACCTGCCCGTCCCTTCCTCGCTACCACGCGGGCCCCGCCTCCTGGCTGCCCCGTAGGTAAGGAAATAGCGGAGGAGGTAGAGGGAGGACGGCGAAGTGACAGGGAAGAAGCGGCGGGTCGACTGGTGAGGCCATATACCCTACTTGCAAGCCAAAATTTTGTCTGCGTGCATCTGTCTGGGGTTAAACATGCGTGCTCCCAAACCTCAGTAACCAGGCAGTCGCCATGCCCGAATCAGACAAGGGTGGGGGATGGTGTCTTTGCCTGGAAGATGGTGACTGCAGGGTGTGAGAAAATGGCCGCCTGGGTCACATGTCTGGCCGAGTATTCCCCACCCTAAGTGAACTGGTTAGCTGTTCCCAGCGACCTTCCCAGGTCCTTGGGCCCCAGACAATCCCTGAGCACTCCCAGCTCTTTCCGCATAAGTTCAGATCTATGGCCAGACCCAATCTGAGCTGGAGCACGAGCCAGAACAACTTAGAAGCCTCTCCTACCCGTTTGCCTTCTTCCCCTCCTACTCCGTCCTTCTGTCAGTCATGGAGCATTGTCTGCAGAATGGAATGAATTTACATCTCTGGACTGGGACAAGTAAGGGTTTCTGAAACCATCTCAAGGAGCTGGCTGGGAAGTGAGATCTCCCCCGGAAAACGGTAAATATCTCATCATTTATTTTAATACCTGTCTCTGTTCCATTGATATATGTGCACCATGTTTTATTCACCCAATCCTCTGATGGACATTTGAGTTGATTTTCATTTTTGGTCACTATGAACAATCTTGTAATGAGCATTCTGGTAAGTACTCTAACTTGTTTGTTGAAGAGAACTAATTGTGGTGAAAATGAGAATATTATGTGCTGTGAAGCAAAATTCTATTACATATCCTGACCTTATGTATCCGCTAAGGAAGCATAATGGAAATATTTATCTTTGAAGTAAAATTTCTCATATACTTCCAACTATACTCAGTGAGTCATTCCTGAAGATCCATAGGGAAAATTTAGACTATATTTCTTGGATGAAGATTGATTGGTGGCAGACAGGGGCAGAACGTCAAGGGAGATGATATATA